TGGCACTGCAACTGTTATAAACAGGCGTGTCGCTCACCACCAGATCCGCGACTTGTTTGTCCCGTCATTTAGTATTGTATAAAAAAAACGTTAAGTATGTAAACTAACAACTTTTGTAACTGTAGTTCAGAATAGGGTGGTTTGGAGTACATAGGGCGCACTATAAGTTTCCGGAACTGACCACTTAAATAAACAATATTTAAAAATTAATTACAACATTTGAAAATGGAACTCTTTGGCTTTAGAATACAATTTGTTTCTTCTGACTGTCACTTGTTTTTACATTGTGGCGTCATTTTAGAAATTGGTTGTCTACATCGCCATGGATTTAACTCGTGAAAATTTTCGTAGTATGATTTTCTACGACTTTAAGTGTAATTTAACAGCTCAGCGGAACTTCGCTCGGCTTCAAACTGCTTTTGACGATGAAGCACCATGCAAGACGACTATTTATAGCTGGTTTGCAAAATCAAACGTGGTCGTGTGAATTTCAGTGACGAATTTCGTGATAGTCGCCCGTCCACTGCTGTGAACAACAAAAACATCGCTGTTATGCGCGGTATGATCAACACAGACAGGCATGTGACATACCATGAGGTTCGGGCATCTTTAGGCATAGGCATGAGTTACATACAATCAATACTACACAAACATTGGGTGTGAAAAAGCTGTGTTCTCGGTGGATCCCACACAATTTGACTGAGGCTCAAAAAACGGATCGCGTCACTTGGGCGTCAAATTTGGTGCGGGACATAGTAACAGATGACGAAATATGGATTTCTAGTTACGATCGAAAAACAAAGCAGCAATCGAGCGTATGGGTCTTTCGAGATGAACCGAAACCAATCAAAGTGCCTCTAAGCGGATGATTGCTTCTTTTTTAATAAAACTGGACACGTGGCTACTGTTGCTTTGGAGAACCCTTGTACCGTGAATAGTGATTGGTACACGACCATTTGTTTGCCGGAAGTTATTGACAAACTCCGTAAAAATAACCGTAGGTAAATGCCGTATCGTCTTGCACCACGATAGTCAGTTCTTCTCACACGGCCAGACAGACAAATGAATTTTTGAAGGTGAACAACGTTGACCTTATGAGCGATCCCGCGTACAGTCCCGACCTGGTACCTTGTGACTTTTATTTATTTCCAAAAATTGAGAACCAGTTACGCGGTCAACGCTTTTCATCACCTGAAGAGGCTAGCGAAGAGTATGAAAAATATGTTTCAGAGATTGTCACGGAGGAGTGGCATAAATGGTTTCAAAATTGGTTCATTCGTATGAAAAAGTGCATTAACGCTAACGGAGAATATTTTGAGAAACGATAAATTCATTTCTGACCATTTATAGTATTTTTTTCTTATTCATTCCGGAAACTTATAGTGCGCCCCACGAATTACACATAACTTCTAGATGACTTTCAGGCTGGATCCTGTGAAGAGCCCGAAACTGTTAGTTGTTAGTTTGTTTAAAAAACCAGATATTTGTCTGACGTGTCGTGTCGCGACGCGTCGGTATGGTATCGGTGCCAATCACACAGCACAAGGCGACACGTCACTATTGCGACACACTTATAAATCTAACCACGTTAAATGTACGAAGCCGATACTGTTATGACGCGTCACGTCAAACAAATGTAAATCCAGCTTTAGATACGAAAAAAGAAATTGTATTTATAAAATTGTTACATAGAGCCAACCATAAAACTAACCTAGGACAGACTCTGCTTGTCATTAGTTAATAAAAAAAATGATAATTTCCCATAATCGCAATCTTCGCCTAGACAACAAATTGACTTTTTAAA